CAAGAGAACAAAGCCAGAGAAGAAAAAAGAAAGAGAAGAGCGAAACTAAGGACGAACAACTACCCCCTTTCAAGATGGTTTGAACTGAGAAAAAAATGAATCTGTTTACAACAGCAAAAAGGCATCTGATCGAAAAATAGCAAAAAATACTTTAAAAAACATGAGCAAAGACAGCAAAGTGAAGAGGCACAGGAAAAAAGGGACCTGTCAGAAAAATGCAAAAAAAGGTACAAATGAGTTAGAACCGAAAAGAGAAAAGAGTTGAGAAAGGGGAATCTGCTAGAAACAACAAAAAGGAAGAGCATGGAAAAACAAGAATTCGTAAGCAAGTGTGCACTTAACAAAGTGCAAAAGTACAACTAGAGAATACTAGCTAACTAAACCCCATTCCAACCACCACCACCACCACCACTTTCGCTCGACCGACACCTACCCTCTTGGGCCCCGTTGGCCGGGGGGGAAGGAAAGTCGCCAACTGCCAGCGGTGCAGCGGCTGCCACCACACAGGACCCGAGCATAGGTTGGAGGGTAGCGCTATCCGCTTGGAGGGCATCGCTGTTGGGTTCGAGGCCATTGCGCTAGTGGGACGGAGGAAAAATGCTAGTAGGGCGGAGAGCAGTTTTGTGAAACACCAGCAACGTTTCGGCGCTTCTCGTGTTTTGGCTTCATGCCTTTAGCGAAGATCACGCGACATGCTCTGAGGTTTGGGGCGTGTCTTTGTTCCGTGCACTGGTCCTAGGCTCTTGACAAAGTTTGACCGCCCAAGCCCAGAAATTCTCGGAAGTGGCCTTCAGCCATGCATTGGGCAAGCAGCTAAGGTGGGTTGTCAGCCTGCTTCCTCCCAGACTCATCTACCAATAACCACCACACATATGCAAGCAAATCAAACTCTGAAGATGCTGTTTGCTCAACATATCTTCAACGTTGCGACGAACCGCTGTTCAAAGGGCATTTGTTTCGGGTTTCTCGTTTGCAAAATACCTTCTCTGGGACTTCCTATACTCACCCTCACATCAGAACTCCCTTCCCCTTTGATGCTCACTTTCGCAACTCCATGAATCCTCGGATCCTCCACTTATACTTCCATTCAATTTCCGAAAGCGCTTTGATGGACGGGACGCGGATCCGAAAGCGATCTGCGCCTTCCCCCGACACCTGCATCTAAATTGTATCGTTCTTCTCACAAAAGGTCTACCTTGGAAAACGCAGTCTGCTAACGCCTTCCTTCTTCTAAGTTCTTACCTTCGGCTCGCAAAACGTCTGCACCTGACAGCATCTTTTTCTCTGCACCTGAGAATTCTCACCTTCGCTCAGTTGCGCCAAACCTCTTTCCCATAACTCCCACTTCGATTTCCGTTGTTTGAGCATTTTGCGTTTTCTGATGCTCCCACAACAGACTCACACCGTGAACGACAACCTTGTTCACTGTTTCAACAGCGCGCGCGCCTCAAACACGACTCATCGACGCAGTTCTCAGCATCTGCGCCAAGTGCATGGCAGCTGACTCAGGACTCTACAGGCAATCCAACGCAGCAATTACTGGGCAAGTATCCGCCACAGTCACCCCACAGCGCACCCTTGACACGCCAGAACACCCTCATCGTCCAGCCCGCACTTGATTCCTGCGTCTTCAGCGTGCGCCGGAACCAAAAAGCAGATATCAGGGTTGAAAAGTGGGAGGTGTCCTGGTCATGCATCAAGTGCCACATTGATGTCACAAGCGTTTCAACGTATGGACCATGAAGAATATTGAAACGTTTTGGGACGCGTCCAACGGACGTCTTGCCTGCCGCTGCACGTCGCAAAACGAGGAGGGCACTGCAACCACCACGTCTTGAACCTGCGCACGCGCAAGTGCCAAAAACAATTTGACTGAGAACCTGGAGATGTTCCTGCATCTCAGTGAATTCTCTTTCAAATTTCGGGGATCCAAGGAAGTACTGCAAACAGCCAAACCGCCAAACGAACCTTAACACCACATCTGGTTTCGTCATTTTTGCCCGCGGCCTCTTTTCCAGACTGAGCCAGTAGCTGCGTCCAATCGATCGAAGCGCCCTCCCGATTGCCACCCAGTTGCAGAATGACGGCATCCGCGTTGGGCCAGCCCTGTGGAAAGTTGGCCCGCGTCACCTCTTCCACAGTGATTGCCCGATGATCCACATCCATCGGCATGCTGGTCATCATGTACAAACCCTCAGCGTGTTTGATACCACCTGCCACGAGGATTGCATCACCATGTCTCAACAAGCAAACATAATACGTTCTTAAACGACGAAGTGTCTTTATTCACACGTGCAGTTCACTTGTCAGACATATCCCGTGTGCAAGTGGTCAGCGGGTTTCCTATGGTAGCTCAGAATGCTCAAGTCGTAGTGCACCGTGAGGACCAACGAATGGCTAAAAAGGTGACGGCGCAAGCGGTCACGTGAACGGACACAAGAGGCCTCTTTCTGAACCAAGACTATCGGACACGCTCTCTTGACGCGCATGTCGACCTATGGCAATTGCATGCCCTGGTCCCCCCCTCATGTCTTTCGAGTGGGGAACACAAAACGAACCACCAGACACCACCGGGGTCAACCAACCGAGGAGTTTCGAAAGTAGGCATTCCTTGTTGTTTCCGCTTGCGTGCTGACCTCATGTGCTCGTCGCTGACAATGCGCCACTTCTGCTGGGATTTATAGTATAGTTCCATTTCCTTAGCTCCCTCCTTGGTCAAAGCATTGCTAAGTTGCGCCTCAGAGTGAACCCAGCGGATTTTTACGTTGTTGTATCTTTGGGCGGACTTAAGGCACAGCATCTCTATGTCTGTTCTTCGTTCAGCGCCTTTAACACTGAGTTCTTCAGTTTGTAACTTATCAAAGACGTTGCCGGAGTCGGACACAACGCAACCCTCGGTCAAGTTCACGGTGTGATCCACATCAAAAATATTTGGTTGCTCGAACAACTCTCCGTATTGAAACCGGGCGTGGAACAACAAGTCTTCTCCGTTAATGACAGCACTTGCCTCAGCTGCACCTGGACTCCTAGTAACTCTATCAATCTTACTAGCATGCCATGAGACAGGAACGACCGACTCAAATGCCCCTTCAAGAAGTGTCATTGGTGCAAGTCCTACAAACAAGCCTTGGGTGCTGCTGCCATCTCTTCTATTTTGACCGGAGGCATCGGCCCAAACGTACATGCCTACAGGAAAGTGTGCAGGAATCTTCTGGATCTTCAGCTTATGATCTCTTCGAGACTTAGCCTTTTGAAGAAATCCATTCACTCGTCCGATTGTTTCAACCGTGCTTGCTGTTACATCCGAAAGAAGCAACCCAACTGACAGGTGTGGCGCAACTTGCTGCGCATGCCAACTTAAAGCACCAAGGATGGCACGGAGCTTGGATTTTTCCCACTCCGAGGTTGGCTGATTCTTTTCTCGCCTTCTTGTGGCACATAAATAAATTTCACTCACCTTGTCCAAGTAAGTTGGTTGGGACAGTTCAAAACCTTCTCTTCAAGTCTTCGCTATTTGGTCTGGGCCCCTCAGGTTCATAACTAAAGAGTTTTTCGTAAAGATGATAATTTATCTTCTTTATCGAAATCTTTATGAATCATATAGGCGTCAATAATTGTTTCGTACAATATGTTGTATTAATATTTGGCGTTCCTTTTTTCACATAGCAATCGGGGGTATGTCTTGATGCGGATTTGTTTCCGCTGCTCTCCCTGAACGGCTGGGTAGGCAAACGAAGGCATAAGTAGCGGGTAGAGGAAGCACGCTACTAGGATCGAAACCGAGTTCAGACTGAAACGAAGACGAAGGATGAACCGAAGTCAAAGTGCTAATTCCGCAGGTTTGAAGCGGAATGCTGAAGATCGGTTGAAGAGCTTGGCCTTTGATGCCGAATAGATTCAGGCAGAATCAAGCACTGGGTGAGTAATATGTGAATCCGATTTCGTGCAAGATCTGGCAGGAAAAATGCAACGACCTCGAGGCTTAGATGTGAATCCGAGTTCCTGCAAGATCTGATGTCTGCAAGGTGATGGTCGAACGAATGCAAGAATTGCTACGAAACGACTGGCTGGACTGGACAGCGTGCAAACAAAGAATATGTTAGGGTGGGATTGGGTGGGTGAAAAACTTGAAGGTGTTCTAGAACAATGTTTCATGAACATCAAACGTGTTGCTTGTTCATGTCATGAACCACACACACATGGACGGCCTCTGTTGGCCCCCTCCCATGGGTGTTACATTGAACACCTTGATGGAGCGGCGCGGTCACAAGCCCTCATGAAGTGTCCTCGAAACGACAAACTCGACCGTGATCGAATCGAGTACTCGAACACTTCAAAACCCTCCATTTTAATTTCTTCAATTTTCACCTCAAAAAATCAAATCTGGTTTTGATCTTTCAAGTTTTGTCTTTTAAGTTTTCTTTGAACCCTTTCACGATGGTGGCCCAGACCCGCCAAACAGAAGCCTTCTGTTTGGCTCTGTTAAGCTCAGACTTACAGAGAAAGGATCATCCGCTTCGTGTACTATTCCTTCTCTTCAAGTCTTCGCTATTTGGTCTGGGCCCCTCAGGTTCATAACTAAAGAGTTTTTCGTAAAGATGATAATTTATCTTCTTTATCGAAATCTTTATGAATCATATAGGCATCAATAATTGTTTCGTACAATATGTTGTATTAATATTTGGCGTTCCTTTTTTCACATAGCAATCGGGGGTATGTCTCGATGCGGATTTGTTTCCGCTGCTCTCCCTTCCCCCGACTACTGAGCAGCCTGGATCGGATGGGTCTCGGATGACTCCATCATCCACTGCACAAGGAACTCCATCGTTTCGAATCCATGTCGAAATTCGGCACCGAACTCACGAGCACACTCAAGGCCCGCCCCTCTGGAGGGGGCCTCGGACGGGAGGATCAATCGCCTCAGCGGCGAAAAAGGCCTTACAGAGACAGTCCATCACTGGGCTCGGGGATCTGCCCTTGATGACGGCTCCCCTGGCCGCCTCGTTGTCTACGAAAAGAAGCGCACGTCGAAAGGCAAGGCGATGCCGGAACTCCCATCTGACAAGCACCATCACGAAGAGTTCTATTTGACAGATGAGCTGGTCACCAACGGCCTTGGCCCAACGATCCAAAAGGTTCTTTGGCGCTTCACTTTCGAAGACAAACCTCTCGTCCGAGGCCAAGTCAAAGATACACGCGCCCAAGCCCCCCACGTGGGACTCGTACGACCCATCAGTGAAGATCAAGATCGAATGAATCTTGGGGACCCTCGGAATGCATCTAGGTTTGGACTGCTCCAACAAGGTGAGGAGCTCATCACACCACACCCTCAAGGGCTCGCCTCCGCTCCGCCCCTGCTCAACAAAGCCGAAGATCCTTTGGCAGGCGTATCGCAACTGCCGTCCGGCGAAGTAGCCGCAAGCGAAATTGAGCAGCCCGTGGAGCTCTTGCGCTTCATGGAGCTTCATGATCCCATTCTCCTTCACTTGAAAGATCTTTTGTTTCATCTTGTCGACCCTCCCGGGCTTGTTCTCAAGGATCAGGCCACCACCTTCCTTTAGCTGATCGAGGTTCAAGGTGAATCCGAGAACATCAAAGCTTTCGGCGAAAGGCAGACCCTTGGCCCCCGTCTGGCTGTGGCGCCAGCCTAGAAGGTTAAGGAACTCTGACACTTGAGCGTCTGTTCTCTCGGCCGAGCTGGTCGGGGAAAACAAAGGGAAGTCGTCAAAATAGCAGGCTGATGGGATCTTTAGATATGTGTTCAGCAAGAACCAAAGACTCCTCGACACCCTGTTAAAGGCGAAGACCGCTGCTGTGGATCCAAACGTGAGCGAATTCGGCACGTAGAACAAATTTTCGTTATCGGGACTTTTAAAATGAACCACTGCCAAGTCACGGTGTTCGGGTTTCACTGGCAACTGCTTATACGCCTTTGAAAGGTCGAGACATTTACCCATCCACTTCAAGTCTGGCTTTTCTCCCAAGAGCGTCGCCAATGCTATGACGTAGTCCGCATCTTGGAGCTCCAAACAGATCGTGGACGTGTAGGCGGCATTGAGCTGCGCCTCTAGCCCGTCGTCAATCGGTCTAAGTTACTGTCCTTGTTGGATGATGAACCTTCTCATCACGCTCCAATTGTCATGACCAAAGATGGCTGTCACTTCCTCTTCGGATTTGAAAGGGCCCTGCAAGAATCCAAGATCTACTTCCTCACTTGCCGTCTCCCTCAAGTGTTCTGCGAATCCAGGTTCCTCGGTTTGAGGTCTCCTGGCGATCAAGGCTTTTCTCCTCCATCTTGCAGTGCTCCTCAGCTGTTCCTCCGAGATTTCGGCCATCTTGATCTTCTTCTTGAAGCATTCTGGGTGGTCGTGGGTTCCCACCAGAGGCACACCCTCCGTCATAAATTTTATCACTTCCATGTCATCATAATTTGCCTCCTCCAAGAGCTTTTTCCACAAAAGAATCTTCTTGTCCTGTACCACTTTCTGCACAGATGGGTCGAGATTTTTGTGGAGAACGCTTTCTTCCGCTTCGAGCCTCTTAGCCAAGATTCTTGCCTTTAGGATGTTCTTCTTCTTCTCAATGTCAACCAGCTTCGGGTCCGAGTTCATCACAAAGTCTAAAGCTTCGAGGGTAATCTTCTCGATTCCCCTTTCATCCATCGGATGCTTGGCCATCATTGCTTTTGCGACGAACTCTTCCGGGGTATGGAATATACCCACACGTTTGCTATCGGGTGGTTCGTGTTCCTCCGGTACTTTTCCCCCGTGAGAACCCGGAGGTAAAAGCTTGCCCTGTGAGGGAATAGGTGCATCGTCAGGCAGCCACACGATTTGAGCAAACTCGGGGATGAGCTGCGGACGAGATTTGTGCTGACGATGCTGTAAGGCTAAGGTTTGAGTTCGAAGAGGAGGTCTATCCGGAAAGGCCTGTCCTTGACTCAGGAGATGGGACTTAACTGCGGCGGCCATGCGCTCCGCCAACAAGGCCGGGTAAGCGGCTTCACTGCCGGTGTCAAAGACCCATCGACCGGACTCGAAGCGAAGGGCAAATGGTTCATGGGGATGATCGTTCTGGCAAATGGCATTCAGTTTAGTAAAAACCCCCGGAGTGGCCTTGAAGCGAGTGTCTTTCTTGCGGCTGCCTCCATGACAACAAGCATGGAAGTTGATGTCTTCCAAGCGGTCCCAAGCGGTGATCAGATCAGGATCGCCCTTTTGACGAGCAAGAGCAAGCATGGCACTCCAAAACCAAGAACGAGCGGGCTTTTCAAAACTGAAGATGGTGCGCCTCGGGAGTAACATCTGGAAAATGATGAGTGCAAAATCGTACAATGCATTGGCTTTCTGCAAACGAATTCCGGAAATTGACTCGGCCGAAATGGAAGGCAGACCGGGTGGAAAATCGGCGGACCTCAACGGCGGCGGACATGGAGCTCCAGCCTGTTGATGGGCGGCAGAGATCGGTCGATCACGCGCCCGAGAAGCGGTACCACACGGCAGACCAAAATGGACATATGCGGGAGGACACTGCTTCAACAAATCAAGGAGCAACCTCTGATGACCGGCCGTGGTGAGATCCAACAAGACCACGGGGACCTTTGCATTACAAAGGACGTGATCCACACTCAAAACGGACAAACCTGCTTGGAAAAGACTGTGCGACAAGGATGCTTGACCGCAACAAATCTCTACTGCAAAAGGTAAAGCTGTGGCGGTCTCCTTGGGAGTCGGCGGTAGTCACTCGGCTGAGTGACCACACTCATGGTACGGCTTGGCTTTGTGGCATCCCGCCTTGAAGCACAGATGATAGCCTCGTGCGCACCGCGGGCCTGAGCCCTTGAACTTGCAAATGCCTCGGTTGTAAGCAAAACAGAGTGGCTTACCGTCCGGCGTCTTGGCAACACATCCTGCCGGGAGATCGTAGGTGGGACTGGATGATTGCGATTTTCCTCGGCCTTTGCCCTTGCCCTTGGTGGGCCTCTTGGCTGGGGGCGGAGTCGATGCGCCGGCACTGGCCTGTCGCTTGGCAGGCTTGTTGGACTGTGATGCTTTCTGAGGCAATGGGAGCAGGAACGTGGCGAGATCAGGCGAATGCATCAGGCTGGTGAGAACTGCATCTAAAGGACGCGGAGCTCCTGGCAACACTTGCAGCCCGCCAACCAACTGGTTGGAAGCACGGATGAACAGCTGTTTATCACATTCGATCATCTGAGCAGTGGACACGGCAGCGAATCCTGATGGCTGCACACGATCATGCGTCAAGAACAAGTGCTGGACCCATGTTTCCATGACACGGAATGAACAAATGCGGGCTTGATCAAACGCGAGGGAGCGACGCTGCCAAGCGTTTCGGAGATCCAGGGCAGTCGCAACCGAACAAGTCAAGGCACTGGGCTTCGCCGATATCTTGAGGTTTCCCTCGGAATCGAGCGACACTTTCGGATCCCTTTTGAGGCTCTGGATTTCCTGCGCGCGGGAGGTGCACTCCTCGGGTTTGAGCCATGTGAGCACGTTTTGGTCGATCATGTGCACACAAGTGTCCACTAAAGAGTGCGACGGTTGAGTTTCTGGCGAGAATATGACACCGGCCAGGCGGGCCTCTTGCTCTTGTTGTCGAGCTTGTCGCTCGGCGATCGGAAGCTTTTTCGGCAGCAATCCACCTGCATCACTGGTGGGCTCAACTCTGCGTTGCAAGTCGCTGATCGCCAGAGCCTGGCTTTCGAAGACGAGCCGTCGTAAGCAAGAGATTTGGAACGGAGTCAAAACTTCGGCCGTCAACTTCTTAATCCACTGATCGAGGGCCTCATCCGTGAGGGCCTGTGGTGTCGTCGACACAGCGAATGCTAAAGCGCCGAACGTCGTGAATCCCTGACTCAACAGCTCCTGCTTGAGCGGATCAGAAACTCCCAGATGCTGCAACCTCTCTAGAAAGGCGGCCTCGCTATCGAGGGCCGAAGCCATTGCGGAGGGTGTCAGGACCTAACAAGACCGAGATGGAAATGCACGTACAATGATTGTCAAACTGCCTATTTCCTGATAGCAAGAAATGTCCATGTCAATTTCCATGAGGGCGCCCGGTTGAGCCGCACTGATCAGGCATGAGGAGTCAGATCCTGTGACGCAAATACGTCGTTTGTTTGGATCAGTTAAGCTGGTTGCGAATAAAAAGTCGTGACTTTTTCCAGCTGTCAAAAACTCCAATGCGGGCTCCGACATGTAGCGTGTCGGCTCAAGCCCTGGCTCCTTCTATGATCAGGGTTAGATCACACAGAGCCTCCTTCAAGAGGGCTACATGAATTTCCAGTTCGGATCCATGCTCAGTCAGAAGCAGCCACTCTTCCACCAAGGCTGTGGCGGCTCGTAGTTCGCACTGAACGATGTACAGCGGGAGCTCTAAGACCGCATTGAGTCCCCTCCGACTGGTTGGAAGTGCTCCGATCGACGAGGTCGTAATGTTTGACAAAGCCTCATTAGGAATGCCTTGCAGCGAACATGATGCGCGGCGGCCAAGCACCCAGAAGTCCAGCTTGACCACCTTGGCCAAAAACTCGCAGAAGTTCTCCAATCGGTCGACGTCATCAACTGCTTGCTCACCCTCGGTATGAGCCCACTGGCCCACGAGGATGACGAACTGCATGGCGAGAGTCATGGTGCGAATGAAACCGGAATTGGCTTGCACCCAACTACGAACCAAACCTGCCAGGTCACGCTCAGAAGATTGCTGCACTGACATGCGAGCACGTTGACAAGGTTTCAAAGATGAAGCGAAGGAACTGTTCTGCCTTTTTACACTTCCAACTTCTTGCCGAATTGTATGCAGCACTCTAAGTCGTACTCTTCAAACAGTTCGATGGGGCCGTAGTTGGGAGATATACGACGGCCGCACACCGTGGTGTGACTATCCAACAAACAATGGGCTATGCCTGACTTTTCGTGCACGACGACGTCTTGCTGTTCAATGTTTGGGAAGAGATTTCGAGTCTGGCCGAGAGGTGATTGGGCTGTAGACATTGCTCCCAACAGGGGCTCATCTTCCTCTTCACTAGATTCTGACAACCCATCTGGCTCCTGTGGTTCTATCTGCACGTCAGCCTTGTCCCAGGCTGCTGCTGTTTGGAGGACCCGGTCTACGGCTGTCGAATCAGGGTTAAATTCGGCCGCTCTGAAACTCCTAAACATTGCTAACCTTACCATATAGGGTCGTATAGGCTTCTCGCGAGTAAGTGAGGACAGACTTGGCTCCCGGATCTACATGGTGACCCAACAGGCGTCTCTCTTCCGGGGTAAAGACTACCGGGGTCGAACGAGAGGCCAGTGTCAAGAAACCCGCTTTCAACGAATAAGTCCCCAGGCTCGTGAACGAGGTGACTGGCACCTCCACCTCGTCGAGGAAGTCCTCTAAGTACATCATGGCCTCTGATGAACCCATGGGCTGAGACGACCAATTCCCACTCCTGCATGAGAAGCTCGGCAAGAACGGGACCTGGTTGTCTGCAAACTGCTCCTTCCGAGCATTAATCCAAGCCGTGCCCCAATCACTCCCTGACAAGCCTGTTCCGATAGCGACGAACGGCACAAAAACCTAGTTTTGGCTTCCTTTGCTCGTGTGGTCTTTGAGCTGAGGCTCTCTCCGACCAGGAGCGAGAAGCTACCCTGAACTTGCAGGTCCATTTTACGAAGATTGCTGCCATCACTCCATCTGGCACCGGAGTGGTAACAGAAAATCAACTGTCCGAGGATCACAGCCTGCACGGGGTCTTTCTTCTTGATGATCAAGTGTTCCAATTTTTCGATCGCATGAGCAGGCATCGGATCCTTCTGCAACAGGGGTTTCTTTTCAAGGTAGAGTTTATGAGCTAGACCAACTACCCGAGGGGATAAGATCTCCTTCAAGTCGCACTTAATCAGCTTAGCCACTCCATCGATGAATCTCAAAGACTCTACGAAGTTCGAAGCTGCTGTGGCTCCCACCCCCTCAGAATCCAAGCTCGTCAAGTATTCATACACTTCAACCTCGGAGGTTCTGAAGGGGCTGGAATAGCCATAAGTGCTCCTTTGCCAATACTCATACCTTACTAACGAACAGGCTCTCTTGTAAATAGTGCTCGAGGCCTTGCCGGCGAATGCATGATCTACTGATTGCTTGATCAAGGCTTCATCGATCGGGATATCGGCTTCTCGAACTATTGTTCGTCCCAATCGAGTGGCAGCTGGGTCTACCAGAAGGAGCGAGACTAACTTCTTAATTCCTAAATTACGCATATCCTCATCTGACTGCTGAGTTCTCACCCCCTTAACCCGAGAAATGGTCTCCCGACTGAACCTTTCGGTCGAGCTCGGGCCGGGCGAAGGAAGCGGCTCAGTCAATGCTCTAAGGTGCAACTCGGGAATCGAAAGCATCGTTCCTAGCGAACCTCCCAGCTTCGGTTGCGGGAAAGACAGGTGCCCCCTCTGGCCCCAAGGGAGCATCATCTTTAGCCTCTTGGCCTCCGATCTAGCGCTTCCTCTCATCGCGAAGTCGTCCCAACTCGTTTGATCGGTTCGGAGGTCAACATCACCAGAAGAACCCGATGCTCGGGACGAACGTGCTGGACCTGTAGGGGGAAAATCGGCTTCCGGTTCAGCGAAACTCGGTCCTGTGTCACCTCCGTCCGATCTGGCCTCTCGTGGAATATCCAAAATATCCTCCGCATCGAATGGGATGAAATCTTGATTTTCAGCCTCATAAAACATCAAATACAACGCCGGTTCCAATCAATAGGGACTGCATCTGCGCTAGCAAATCGATGGGTCTGTCAAACCTTAAGAATAGCGGGATGATATAACGATGAGTGCCTGACCCTCCCTGAGGAATCACTTAACCACCTGTCGGATCTGATTTCCTCAAGGCACGGATAGTCACCCACCACTCTGCTGTGGCAGTGAACGTTTACCGCATAAGTGCAAATCATAGTACTGTTTCAACAGTAAAGTTCGAGGCAAGAACCTGATCACATTGGTCGATCTGTGCGTCGTCCAAAGGAACCTCAACAAACGTCAAATCAACCTTTCGTGATCTCTTATACCTCATTTTAACTCTCTTCCCAGTAAGCTCTGTTGCTTATGATGAGAAAAGATGAGAGAACACTCCTGAGGTTCTTGCCACAATTTCTGAGTCGAGATTGTCTCCTTCAGAAATGGCCTCAAGTGATGTCAAAATTCCAGTCGAAAAGTGCTCTGATGCACTGATCTAAACGAGATTTGATTCTCGTTTAAAATGCGTTCTCTGTTGAAATTCTCTGTTGAAGTCCTCTGCTGGACTGAGGCCCCAACTCCCCCCTTCCAGCGCCCACGTCCATAGCGAGGACGGTCCGGGATGTCCATAAGGGACACAGACGGGTGGTCGGAAATGAGGAAAGTTGCCTGTTATGTCATCTGGAATTCAAACTCTGGGAGAGTATGAGAAATCATCTCGGTTGAAGATGGAAGTTTGAGACCACTGGAAAAAGGGAAAAATGTTCAAGCTGAGCCATGAACCATCAAAAACGGAAGAAAATGCACTGAGCAACAGGTGACTACTAATGTCAATCACAGAAACTGATGAAAACATGCGAGACGAATCACGAAACGGCCATACGAGTGGAAGTCAAGTTTTTTAACCTGGAGCGAAGCGAGCATCAGATCAGCAGGATGGCGGCGTCGGATTGCCGGTCATCGAGCACTATCATGAAGGAAGGCCAAAATGGCACTGACCTGACAGCTACAGCTGCGCAAATCGAAAAATGCCGCCTTCAGCGTCTGGGCGATCTGCTTCGAGATCCAGATCCCTCTCTGAAGTCGCTGCACGGGGAGGGCATACGTACAGCGGAGTCGGGCGGTGAGGGCATACGTACAGCGGAATCGGCTTCAGTGTCGAAAGGAGCCTCTGATCCACTGCCATCAGTCGTGCTATCCAGCACGCGAACCCAGGCACGTTCAAAAGTCTCCATCGCCTGTAGCTCGAGCTGCAAGGCCTGTCTCCTCAAAATGGCAATCTGTCGCATTTGCCAGGCCAGTCTGTGTAGCTGGTATTGCAAATATTCCAGCGTGGGCGGACGGTCGGCGACCGGCACGTCGAACGCAGGAGCGCGAAGTGAAGTTCGGTGATCGAAACTTGGACCATCAAAAGGAACGGTATGCATCAATGAATACATCAGTTGAATTTGCATGAGCAGGAAAATTTATGTGAATTAATGAAAACTGCACAATGCAAGGTCAAAGTAGCGATGCAAACATCAAGCAACGAACCCTGAGCATACAATCGGTTTTGCTGCTGCCTGAACGAAGGTTCATAGATCCTCGGGTGGACCAATGATCCTCTGTTGGATCAAAAACGGAGATACTTCCCAATCGCCTGCATCGAGCAGGCCAAGGCCGAGTGAGTACGGCGGTGCGTCTGAACGAGACAACCAACTCAAGGCCAAAGTGCGAAGAGGATCTCAATCGCGGTCGCGGGACCTTGACCTGCTGCGCTCTCGGGCGCTATTGCGAGGAGTGGAGGTCGAGGACAGGGTCAGGAACAAGCGACTCCAGACTTCCTCGAGGTCGGTCAAGGTATCGATCTGGTTCTGCAACGTGTTCCTCTGCTCCACGAGGCCGTCCTTGTGAGCCTGTAGACACAGGCGGACGGCAAACGCCAGACGCGTGACGTCCTCCATCGTCGCGGGTCGCGAACCGGACATAGTGAGAAAGATCTTCGCTCAACACTAGTCAGGTAAGTTGTCAACATGTCAACATGATGCAGCATTCTCCGTTCGCAGGAGGGTACTGCTAGTGCATGGAACATGTTGTGAAAAACTTGAAGGTGTTCTAGAACAATGTTTCATGAACATCAAACGTGTTGCTGGTTCATGTCATGAACCACCCATGGACGGCCTCTGTTGGCCCCCTCCCATGGGTGTTACATTGAACACCTTGATGGAGCGGCGCGGTCGCAAGCCCTC